CCGGTCATTTTTAAAAAAAAAAAAAAAAAAAAAAAAAAGAAGTAAATATTATGCTGCTTCAATAAATAGGGTTAGGAAATTTTCTTGTTTGTTTTTCAAACGAAAAACTGTGGTTGAGATGGATTGTGTAGTAGATTCCTGCTCCCTGAGTTACCCATATCTAAAGAAAACCCAGCCGGCTGCAATCAGGCATCATTCTGTACCTGGTGGGAGCCAGCCAAACCTCAAGAATAGCATCTATGAATGTGAAAGAGACGGCTTCGGTAAGGCTTGTGTTTCCAAGCCTCAGCCCTTAAAGAGGCAGCAAATGAGAATTAGGACTGCCATACCTCAAAAAACTGTCATAATGAAAATGAAAACCTACCCCACCCCACTCAAAAAATTGGCATACTGTACAGCAAATCAGAAACCCAAACTGTGAAATATACTACACAGGATCCATAACATGTTTTACATGCATCTGATGGGTGAATCTGGTACAAAATGCATGACGGTGTTTACCCATAATTGCAGGGGCGAGAGTTGAGTGAACATCTTTCGGGAAGATTAGGCAGGAAAAGTAAGAAACAAGCTGTAAGGACTTACTACCTACGGGAATGAGATGAGTGGGCTGGGATTCTTCCAGTTTGTTCCTCAACCAGTCAAAATCCTGGTATCTTCGACGAACAGAATATTCTGGCAGGTCGAACTCTGCCCGACTACTCTGCAAATAAGAAGAGAATGGAAAAAGTAAGCATAAGGGAATAGTAGCATATCTTGGCTGAAGGGAAGGAAAAAAGCTCTCTTAGAATAACCAAACTGGGCAAGAACACACTTTCCTTCCACCACACACACCAGCCAAATGGCAGTTTTCCAACACAGAAGGATCAGTCTGGGCCACAGTAAAAAATTCAAGGAGCTGGAGTGAAAACGTCGGGTGTTTTTTTCCTACCCTAGGAAACAGAATTCAACTAATCCCTCAGAATTGTTTAAAAACATTTGATTCATTTCCTCCAAGCTTAACCCTGAGAATTTCTTTTAGCAGAATAATTCCACTTAGGATATTACTACTGAATCCGAATCTGTGAAAAGAAACTGTCTCCACCTTCTGCTAAATACACTAAGTTTTACCAAAGGCAAAGGGGAAACAAAACAAAAACAAAAAGTAGAGATAACAGATCTGCTCATTTAGGAGTTAGATTAGATGAAAATAGAAAAGGTTTTACTTAGTCTACCATTTTCTGCCAGAACCATAATCTTGAAACTATACTGTATTTTAGATACATCAGAAAAAAAACTAGAAGGAAATAATACCAAAATACCATTACAGAAAAATACTAACAATCTCATCCGTTTTCTTGAATTTTTTAAGTTTCCTGAAATGTGACTGTAGCACTTTAATAATGAAAACCAATGTTACATAAAACTAAGTTGATTTATACCAGAACAAGAATTTTTTTTTTTTTTTTTTTTTTTTTGTCTTTTGTCTTTTTTTTTCCGTGTCCGGCAACAGATCACAACCCTCAGTGTTGCCCCCGTACCGGACCGGGGACCGGCAACGGGATCGCAAGCCTCGGTGTTGCTCCCGCGCCTCGCTCAGCCAGTGAGCGGGAGCCGGTCTGTATGTGGGATCCGAACCCTCGGACGGGAGCGACGCCGCGCTTCCCAAGCGGCGCACTATCCAGTGCGCCACCGGGCCGGCCCCCAGAACAAGAATTTTTTTTTTTTTTTTTTTTTTTTTTTTTTTTTTTTTTTTTTTTTTCCGGGTCCGGCAACAGATCACAACCCTCAGTGTTGCCCCCGTACCGGACCGGGGACCGGCAACGGGATCGCAAGCCTCGGTGTTGCTCCCGCGCCTCGCTCAGCCAGTGAGCGGGAGCCGGTCTGTATGTGGGATCCGAACCCTCGGACGGGAGCGACGCCGCGCTTCCCAAGCGGCGCACTATCCAGTGCGCCACCGGGCCGGCCCCCAGAACAAGAATTTTATTCTTTAATTTGCCCAAACTAAAATCATGTCTCAGATAAGTCATTTTTCTGTCTGAGGGTACTGAATATCTGACAGTCACTGTTTTCAGAAATTAAAGCACAGATAAAAATGGCTCCAGTTACATTTTATAAACCTACTCTTTCAAACCAAAAGTCTGTTTTAATCCACGACACCAAGAAAATCTTAAAAACACATTAATTAACAAGAGTCATCCATCAAAGAAAAGGCAGTGAACAGCTTTGGCATCAAAAATTATGATTTCATCCTGCCCAAAATCTGTCCTCACGGTCTGAGCAAAAGTCTGAGGTGGAAGTACTCAGTCTTGGACTGACCCCTCACTCTTTCTGCATCGTTTCCCCTTTTCAAAGTCCCACACACCAGCACATCCCATGATACTCAACCTTCCTGCGTTTGGGTTGTTGAGAGGAACTGAAGATGTGGGGAAATTCATTCAACTGAGCTATTTGTGAATTGTTAGAAGACTCACCAAAGCAATTAGCATTGTGGAATTGGAAAGAGAAAAAAGACAATGCCTAAGTCTAAAGAACAAGCCCCCGATGGTGAGTTTTCAGACATAAGCGTGATAGAAACTCTGGAGCAGGCAGCCTGATGCTCCTCCAGGCAGGGTGGGAAGAACTCTCCACCTGCGCAGTTCTTGCCCCCATACCTGATCTCTGAGGCTCAGTTTCTTCAATGGTAAGAAGAAGATTGGAAGGGACGTTCTCCACAACCCTTCATAGCCTCCCCAACAGGTACCATCTCAGGACTTGCTTATGATTATGGGAACACGAGACGTATATTTTCTTTTTTTTTTTTTTTTCCTTTTTGTCTTTTTTCATGACCAGCAATGGATCGCAACCCTCGGTGTCGCGCCCGCACCTCGCTCAGCCAGTGAGCGGCCGGTC